ATGGATGGATGAATGTATGGGTGGATGGATGGATGAATGGATGGATGGATGAATGTATGGGTGGATAGATGGATGGATGAATGTATGGGTGGATGCAGTGCCTTTCATTACCTTGGGTTTTTTGAAGGCTCCTCCCAGTGTCAAGTCCCTGGTTCTGAGGGACGTCAGTCTTCCAGGTGGAATTGGAGAGGACAGACTCATGGCTGTGACCGGAAGTCCTCTTCCCGCGGTGAGACTCAGGCCGCCCCTGCTGCCGAGGCCGGAGGAGCCCGGAGAACTTGTTGCACCCCCGGAGTCAGACATTTTGTGATCTCACGTCGTCCTCTTACATTAATTATGTTACTGTGTTCACGCCTGGTGGCGAGATCCTCCACCACGCCCACCAAACTTCAACACATAGAGGCTAACCAGTGACCACAGAGTCTGGGACACTCTCTTTTATTTTGAAAGCAGTGATGTTATGGATCCAGTGGGTCTCAGCGGAGTCGGGGGATGTTACCCCAGAGAGCAGCTCACACGGAGCAGAGGTCCACACACACAGGACGCCTTATCACCCTCCATCTTGTTCGCACCCGCGACATCACCCGCGCGGCGTCACAACACAAAGCAGCTCTCTGGTGAAGGCGAGCCGCGTGTGTGTGTGTGTGTGTGTGTGTGGAACTTTTATATGCAGTGTATAGTTCAGAGCAGCGTCACCAGGTGTTACCCACAGCCCTCTCCACCGTCTACGTCCTGGAGGCTGCGCACAGCTAACTCCTCACCTCTGTGAGATCTTGTCCACAAACCAGCAGAGTTTCCGGGCGCTGGCTGCACAGAACACACGGTGCTGTGTAAACACGTTCACAAATATTCAACCGATGAGATTATTCCAGTTTCGAGCCGTTTCCTGGTCCGGTTCCCTCCACGCTGAGTTTGAGGATGTAGCGTCCATAACAGCACTGCTCACTGTTGTTGTTGTTGTGGTTGAGCGGTGCTTCACAGAAGGAGCCACTAGAGGGCGATGTTTGTCTTTCATTGTTTTTCTGCTTTCTTTTACTCCTGAAGTGATGAACCTGAGTCTCTGTTTGTCCCTGAGTGTCTTCGAGACGAGTCACTGTCTGTCTCTGAGCATCTTCAAGATGAGTCTCTGTCTGTCCCTGAGTGTCTTCAAGACGAGGCTCTGTCTGTCCCTGATTATCTTCAAGACGAGTCTCTGTGTGTCCCTGAGTATCTTCAAGACAAGTCTCTGAGTTTCTTCAAGACGAGTCTGTCTGTCTCTGAGTATCTTCAAGACAAGTCTCTCTCTGTCTCTGAGTATCTTCAAGACAAGTCTCTCT